CATCACCATCGTCGTCGTCGTCATTGTCATCATCGTCGTTGTCGTCAACGTCGGCGTCGTCGTCGTGATCGACGTCGTCGTGGTCGTCAAAGTCGTCATCGTCAATCTCGTCGCCGTTGTCAACGTCGTCAGCGTCGTCGTCATCAACGTCGACGACGTCGTCGTCACCGTCGTCGTTGTCCTTGTCGTCAAGGTCGTCGTCGCCGTAATCAACGTCGCCGTCGCCGTCGTCGACGTCGTTGTCGTTGTCAACGCCCACGTCGTCGTCGTCGTCGTCGGCGTCGTCGTCGTCGTCAACGTCGTCCTCGTCGTCAACGTGCACATCGTCGTACACGTCATCGTTAAAGTAGTCGTCGTCGCCGGCGTCGTCATCAACGTCGCTGTCGTCGACATCAAAGTCGTGGACGTCGTCGTCTGCGTCGCCGCCAATGTTGCCGTCGTCGTCGTGGTCGTCGTTGTCAAAGTCGCCGCCGTGCAACGTCGTCGACGTCGTCTCCATCGTCGTCGTCGCCAAGGTTGTCGTCGTCGTCGTCGACGTCAACGCCGTCGTCAACGTCGTCGTCGTCAACGTCGTCGTCGTCGTCAACGTCGTCGTCGTTGTCATCGTCTTAGTCGTCGTTGCTATCGTCGGCGTCGTCGTCGTCGGCGCCGTCGTCGGCGTCGTCGACGTCGTAACCATCCGGAAGAATCGTCAGGGGTCTGGGACCACCGTCGTCGGCGTCGTTGACACGCGGCCGTCGTCGAGTGCGGCCAGCCATCACGAGGCTCCAGGCTGGCTTCCTTTGGCGACGCGCACAAGGGGGGGGGGGCAGGGGGAGGGAGGAAAGTTTCTTCGAGGGAGGCTGCCTCTTAGAAGGCGTTGGCCCTACATCTGTAGTAAAGGCCCGCGCCTCCGAAGAAGCAGGGGCAAGAAGCCTACCCCCCAAAGCCCTTTCAGTGGACGCAGCTCCCCTTTCCCCGCCTGCGCACAACACACGAAGCAGGCGTTCTGTCTGCGGGGGTCGCAGGTCGGCTCTGGCGCGCGCCCGCTGGTGGCGACAAATCAGCGCCGTGGGAAGGGATGGCAGGGGTGGGATGAGAGGAGGAAAACGAGGATCACGGATCGGAGGATGATGCTGATGATGCTGATGATGATGATGACGATGACGATGGTGACGATGATGGTGATGATGATGATGTTCCCGCTCTCCCTGGGGGGACACCGCCGAGTCGCTGAGGCCCCCCGCATGAGGTTGATGACGATGACGATGATGACGATGATGATGATGATGAGCCCCTTCAAGCTCCAGATCCCCAGGAACACATGTCCGCGTTGAAACAAAGCTCGGATGTGAGGTTTCCGCTTCGAGATCGCCCTCGCACGAGCTTTGTAAAAAAAGTGAGTATGCATTCAGGGCCGAACCGTTTCAAGCTCCTGAGAGAGCTGAACGTGCTGAACAAAAGATCGGGAACAAGCATGGTAGAGTACAAGGCGGGTGAGGAATGCGTATTCTGACTGTGAAGCAGCAAGCGGTCCAGGGCCGTCCAGGAGAGGTAGTCAGCGGGAAGATGGGGCAGAACTAGACAGAGCGGCTCGAGGGCACAAGGGCAATCGAAATACTGGAGGATCAGGCCTCCACCACACGCTCTGCATCCGAACAGACAGGCATTCCGCCCCTGACGATATCTGGCACTGGTGGCCCAAGAATTACAAACACCTTTCGATGCAGCAGCGCCCACACATGGGGCAAGTTTAGTGTTGGCAAGCATGATACGCGTTACACTTAAATCAGCCTTGGGAAGCTGGACAGTGTTGTCAAACTGTCTGATACGAGGGAGGGGGGCTAACTTGGCAAAGATTGGTGTCTGCCTACGGCTCAGTAGGGTATTCACTTTTTTCTGCAGCATGTCTGTGTCGGGGTCATCTATCATCACGGGAATAGCAGCCAGCTGGTTGTAGTTGGCAATCAGAGAGTAACATATACTGGATTCGTACCACTCTGTGTGACGTAGAACTGCAAGTCGATCAGTCTCCTCGTCCTCCAGCCAAGCAAACCTTCCTCGCACTTCGGAGAACCATTGGGATGTCAGGGCAACCCGATACATACTGGCTCTGGAGTCTCTCTGGAGGTCTCTGGGACCAAAGGGGAAGCAGAGCGCCGACGGGGACCTCAGAATATCGGCAGTAATGGAATGCCTGGGGGCGGATGCAAGAAGCTGGTGGGCTTCCTTTTCTTTTTTAATACAGCCGCGGGAGCCTGGTACACCTGGCCCGCAAAGCTGAACACGGAGACGGCCAGCGAGTTGTACGCAATGATATTCTGACATAGCTCAAGGGAAAGACCTTTGATGTGCCAGACTCGCTTGATGCATTTGGCCCCAGGAGCGCCCCACCGTGGGCCCCATCGGGCCGATGTAAACACCCAGATACTTGCCGAAGGTATCAATCCGAGACGGCCGAGTTTAAATGCCAGAACCACGAAACATCTCGCACATCTCTTGTGGAGTATGGCACCGCAGATACCAGCGAGCACTTACCTGGGTTCAAGATCAGGCCCGTCACCAACGCGACCAGCGAGAGCAATCTGAGCACGATGGGGAGCGCGCGGACAAGGTCGCTAGAAACAATGCCAATGTCGTCCGCGAAAGCAAACGGGCGTGCCAGGGGAGTCATCGCTGAGTACATGCACCTGAAAATGGGATCAGCAGCTAATGCAAATAGTACGCCAGATAGCGGACATCCCTGCTTCCTACCACGTGTGATATAGTTGCCTCTGAATGTGCCTCCTCCAAGTCTGATACTTGTGTAGATATCACGATGCAGTTGTTGTGCAGCGTCCACGACATATTCAGGGATAAACATATGTTGTAATACTGTCAGGATCCAAGCACGCGCTAAGCTCGGGAAAGCAGCGGCAAAGTCAAGCAACAAGAGGCCAGCACGATCAGCCCCTTGAACACTGCATGCTCCAAAAAGTGGGACTCTATCAGCATTATGTTGTCTAGCATACTCCTGCCTTTGATGAACCCAGTCTGATTCCTGCGAATAGAAAACTGCGCCTGCTGTCCAGAGGGAATACTCAGCAGCGAAGCGAATGTCTTATTATCAGTATTGCCCAAAAACAAAGGACGGGTCTCCTATGCTTTTCTCTGCGCGTCCCTCAGGGAGTCGCCCTCGAGATTTTTGGCAAGGAAAACCGCGGCCCCATGGCCGAAGCCTCCAGGAAGAGGGTGTCCAGACATAAAACTCAAATGCGCTTGGCATGAGATTTCCTTACACTCGATGCTACACTTTGCCCAGCCTGAGCAAGGGATGCCATCGGGACCCGCCGCCGTGTCTTTCTCGCGACGAAGAAATCCGAGCATGTCAGAGAGCGGAACAACCCAGTCGATCCCAGGAGAAACTTCCTGGCAGTGCGCAAGCAGCATCTCTGAAATGCGCAGGGGCACGTTCGGCGCATCAGCGGCGGTATGCACGCGGCCCCGGCGTTCAGCAAGTCTGGCGGCGCTGTCCTCTAAACTGGTGGGTGCGTGCCCTTGGTTGCCCAGGATGCCTACGAGCGAAATGCGCCTGTGCTTGGGAGACCGGGCCTTCAAAAGTTTGTGCAGCTTGACTGTGCGCTCGTCGTCGTACTGGTACTCAGGGGACTGCTCGTGCTCGCGTAGCTCGAGAACCAGGATGCGCTCTTGTATGATACGGATGTGCTCGTGGAACCTCTCCTGATCTATGATGTGCTCGTGCTGCTCATCTGTGAACTGCGCAATTTGGTCGTATGCGCGCGCACTTACGCATGATGTGGCTTTGACCGTTCGTACTTGCACGCATGCATTCTGAACAAACCATAAGACGATGAGTATCCGTTTGTACACCATATCGGTAAATGCGTGACTTGATCTCCGCCGTCGCCATCTGCATGCACTCTCGACTCTCTTCTAGCGCGAGGAGGGGGTCCGTGGAGAGGTCAATTTGGGCCCGAGCTTCATCCGCCAGTTGCGCAAATTCTGGATGCGCGGTCACCCAGGAAGGAATACTGGCCTGGGACCGAGCCCCCGGGGAAAAGCGAACGAATGCAGGAACATGATCACTCGGTTCACCGGCTTTCAAGACGTGCCCAATCATTCCAGCAGTAGGCTTGGCCTCCAAAACAGTTGCTGCGGCAGCAAAAGTATATATGCAATCAATGCGTCCCAGAGACTGGATACCTTCCCCAAGGTCCCCTGTCCTATGCGTTGGCTCGTCTTGCGCCAGCTCGAGCGCGCCCGGGAAGAGGTCGCGAAAGCACCGTAGGAGGGCAGGGCGTTCAGGACGCTGATATTCACCATCAGTCCTGATTCGGGTCTCTCATGATTCTAGGAAGTTAAAATCGCCTGCAAGGAAGGTCAAACACGAATTGCTGCGAGGGAGGGTCCCAGCGATTTTCTCGAGAACAGAAAACTTCTCAGCGTCATTGAGAGTGGGATCGAGGTGGATATTGTACACTTTGAGGTCACCCAGAGGTCCTTGGAGAGAAAGAGAGAGAAGACGGCCGCGTACAAGCTCGCAGTGCTCCACATTCGTGAAGTTGGCAAGGAACGCGTTGGCCGCGCTGATCGCAGCTCCACCCGCATTCGGGTTCCCACAAAATGTGCCGAAGTGCGTGTGCATAGGATAATCCCTGCGCAGTGTCTCGAGGTCAGCATGTGTCCCATGTGTTTCTTGCATGAGTATAGTGGTATGTGCTTTGATAAGAGTGCGGAACTTGCGAATCCGATTTCTCTGCCGTATGTGATCACCATACACACTTCCAAAGAAGGCTCTTGAATTCCATGTACTTATCGCCAAGTGCTGCTTAATCTGCCACGGACATTCAATGAGAATCTCTGCCCTGCTGCCCGAGGGGGGCTGAGGAGGAGAACAGCACTTGAAATCGCTTCCCAAGACTGCGGGCGAGAGCGGAGGCGCGAGAGGGAGCATCAGCAGCATATGCAGAAATTGATGCGGCAGCACCGGCATCTTCAACAGAACATGGTGCGCCTAATTCCTACTCGTGGTAGGCGCTGTTGACCGCGGCTGGCAAGTCCTGGACCTGCTGCTCTGTGAGGCCGAAGCTGCGCAGCTCCTGGGCGCACGTCTCGACCGCCACTTCGGATTCCGTCCAAGACGAGAGCATCACCAAATCGATCGGCTCGTCGCGCACGGTGGTGTAGCAAAGGCCCTGGTACTTGTTGCAGGCGAGCACTGTCGTAGGTGTCCAGCAGCCGTTCGTGCGCATGTAAGCGCATATCTGCTTCCAGATGAGCCCAAGGATGTAGCCATTCTTCTTGATGTCCTACGGTTCGTCGAAGCCGATGCGCAGGTCATGTTGCGTGCCAGTTGAGGCCTGGGTGAACTTGATAGGGTGGTCCCGAGCCCGCTCGTAGAAAGACTTTGCGTGCTCCTGCGAGTCAAATTTGATAGCATATGCGAAACGTAAGCTCTGAAAGTGTGGTACACATGTATTGCGATACTCCTGCGGCATATTGGTTTTGAGGATCGCAAAGTGTCGTTCAAATACATGATTCAGCTGCTTCGTTGGAAAACAACGAATCCATATCTTCGTCTTGTCAGCAGGCACTGTAGGTCGCACCGTGGATGGAGTCGTGGATGGTGGAGCAGTCGAGCGACTCCATGCCGAGCCACGTACGGCGGCCCATGGGTCTGAGAGTGGCTGGTCCATTTTGCGCTGCATCTCCGCGAAGCTGGCCTCGAGACTTTGCAATCTCACTGTCGCCGAATATGCGCTTGCCATCCCATCGTCCTGCTCCATGTCAGTATATGTTCCCTGCTGCTGCCTCTGAAATTTGAGCTCTGATTCGTCCATGCGTACGCTATGAGCCTGACTGTCGTCCTTCATGGAGTTGATGGTGGCTGTGTTCTGCTGAACCCCTGCAGAGAGCCGTCCATCCATCTCTTTGATAGCCGTCAGGTGGCCAGCGAACGATGTGTTCATCGAGTTCATCTGGGCATCTATCGGCCGTAGAATCTCATTCAGCATGATCCGTAGAGCCGCAGGGTCGAGAGCCATCGCAGCTGCACGCCTTGATGGGTACGATACACAGAGGCAAAATGCGTGTGGCTGGTATGCGAACTAAATGCGGTGACCCCTGTCCTTGGGGCCTTTCCAAAGAGGTCACCCACGCGCGCGGCGGGCGCTGGCCACTTGAGTCGGGGGGTGGAGTTCCCGAAATGGCCTTGAGCCAAAATGGCTACGGCTTGATGTTGATGTTGATGTTGATGTTGATGTTGATGATGATGATGATGATGATGATGATGATGATGATGAGAAGGAGGAGGAGGATGAGGATGAGGAGGAGGAGGAGGAGGAGGAGGAGGAGGAGGACCTAGCTTGCCCTCGGCCCGGCCCCGCGCGCGGCGGGCAGGCCGCCTGGCCGCCCCCCCCCCCCTGCCTTGAGGCCCTCCGCCGAGCTGCCCTGCTCCTGCAGGCTCGCCTCCTGACGCTGGGCGCGCGGCCGCGCACGCGCCGGGTGGGGGAAGCCATCGTGCCGCCAGGAGGAGGAGGGGGAGGAAGAGGAGGAGGAGGGGGAGGAGGAGGAGGGGGAGGAGAAGTTGAGGAGGAGGAGGAGGACGAGGAGGGTGAGGAGGAGGAGCGGCGGAGGAGGAGTTGAGGAGGAGTTGAGGAGGAGGAGGAGGAGGAGGAGGAGGAGGAAGAGGAGGAAGAGGAGGAGGAGGAGGAGGGACTCCTCTCTCCAGGGCTGGCTCCTCGTCCCGAGTCTTTCTCTGATGGCCATATGGGGCCCAGTACGCCCCCGCAGGACGACAACAGACAAGGAACTTCGGCCGCTGCCCTTCTCACGACGCGAGGCAGTACAGGTCTCTGTCCCTGTTCCCCCTGTCCCTGCTGTCCATGGTTATGTCTTGGGGTGCGTTCTGGACATCAGCTCGGCACGGATCAGGCCGCTGAAACCTACCTGGACTTCTGGCGTCTGACAGCAACAGGAGGAGGAAATCTAGATGGAGATGGAGATGAGAATGGAGATGGGGGGCAGGAGAACGAGGCGGAGGAGGAGGAGGAGGAGGAGGAGAAGGAGGAGGAGGAGGAGGAGGAGAGGGAGGAGATGGAGCGAAAAGGAGGAGAAGAAACGAGGAGAAGGAGGAGGAGGAGGAGGAGAAGGAGAAGGAGGAAAAGGAGGAGGAGGAGGAGCAGGAGCAGGAGGAAAAGGATGAGAAGGAGGAGGAGGAGGAAAAGAGGAGCATGAGGAGCAGGAGGAGGAGGAGGAGGAGGAGGAAAAGGAGGATGAGCAGGAGCAGCAGGAGGAGCGAAGAGGAGGGCGAGGAGCAGGAGGAGCGAGGAGGAGCAGGACTGTTCCCGGGCTGCTCCTGGCTGCGCACAGGGCCTCACGTGTGAGGGGCCCTGGCAGTGGGCGCACGCTTCCTGCGCGCGGCCTCTCCGATCAGCGGGGCATGCTGCACTGACATGTGGCCGATGACGCTGCGTCCCAGCCTAGCGCCAGCCTGCTGCCTCGCAGGCCGGCGCCCCCCCCTACACGAACGGGTTCCAGTGCAATACGGCAGGTTCGCGTCGTGTTGACCTCAGCGTTGATTCCCGACACCGCGGGGATCGTTCAAACTTGAACGATCGGCCCTTCCAAAAATGCCAGATCGTTCAAAGATGGACCGACTTCAGTCCACAGGCAGCGTTCAACCTTAAACGCCCGCGCTGGGGTCGCCGCCAGTCAACACGACGCAAACCTGCCGTAGCTGATGATATGTCTCGCGTGCCTGTCTGTGTCCCCTCGGCTGAGCCCAGGGCTGGACCCAAACGCTGTGTTTCGTGTTGTTTTCGTTTGGCTGACCGTTTTGCTCTACCCGTTTTCCTTGATCGTCCCTGCCAAAACGGAAAACAGCACACCGCCGAAGTCCAGCAAAACAGCGTTGAGGTCCAGCCCTGGCTGAGAGCCAGAAAGGGCCCTGACCTCAACGAGGCAGCTGGGATCGCCCCCCGCCGCCGCGACTCCCGCACCACGGCCGCGCCTCCCCCGTGCCCGCACTCTCTCGCCGTGGCCCGAGCACTCCTGCTGGAGGCCTGGAGATTGGCACCAGCACCAACAGAGCGGGTGGCCTCCACAGGGGCAAGGCGATCCTCGATTTCGGTGCTGGTGGCAATACCTCGGTCACCCTGGAAGCCAGACTGACTATTACCACCATCGCCGAGATCGTGATCTTCTCCCCTCGGTGGAGAGACACACCGCCAATACTGGTGTTGGTGCCAGCCTCTGGGCCTGCGATCCCGCGCCTCCCTCGCGCGAGCTGATCTCTGCACTGTCAGCCGATCGCTCGCGCTTGGCGCGCCCCGCGGTGCACGGTGCGCACTCTGCGTGCACGCGCTGCTCCCTGCCCGGGAGCGGAGGGCACGGACCCTGAGCGCCGCCCCTGCTGCCGCTGCCCGCCCCCCTCGCAAGCCCATGCCCTGGAGCTGCAGACGATGACGGTGGGTTGCCCTTCCTCCCCCCGCTCGGCACCGCTGCGCTCCGCTGTCGCAGTCCACCCTGGCCCCCGCCTCGTGGCAGAGGTCGTGGGGCGGGCCTGGCGGTCCTGCGCCCCCACGCGCGCCTCTTCCTCGACGCCGCTGTGGCGGTTTGCGTGCTGCCACCGCCCGCCCGTCTCGCACGCCGCGGCCCGGCTGACGACGGTGGGCTCCCCTTCCCCCCCCCCACCCGGCTGCCGCCACTGCGCCCGCTTCTCGCAGCCCCATCCTGGCACCTGCCCTTCGGCTGGGCTCGTGGGGCGGGCCCGGCTCTCCTTTGCCGCCCGCTCCCTCGCAGGAGCTGGCCCCGTCGCTGCCTGCTGCCACGGCCTGCCGATCCCGCACGCCGCGGCCCGAGGCGCTGTAGCCGAGGACGCCGGGCTGGCCTTTCTCCCTCCGCTGGCAGCCGGCGCTCGCCTTCTCACATTTGCTGCCGCTGCGAGCTGTCTCCACAGCGGCACCCGCTGCTTTCTGCCACCGCCTCGCTGTGGCACATGACGTGGCCCGAGTGTTGTAGCTGAGAACGTTTGCTTCACTGTCGATCGGCGCCCGCTGGTTGCAACCGTCAGAGAATGCTTCCGAAACGTCCGTCGGTCAGTCCGTCTGCCATTTCATGCGGAGATCACGCAGCCCGTCAGAAGGGCCCATGCACCATGAACGGGATGCGGACTCCTGAAGGTAGGAGTACGCCGGCAAGGGAGGTGGAACTCTCTTGATGGCGGGGCGAAGACGAGACACGGGGGGGGGGCGCGGTGAGAGAAGCGATGCCATCGCGAGACTGCGCACCCAGGTGTTACCTGGCCCCAATTCTATAGCTGATGACGTTGGTTCCAACCTCTTGATGGCTCCGGGCGGCAATGCCCTCTTCAGCTCTGCCGTCCCGAACTGAGCCCCCGTCCGAGGAGGAGGAGAAAGAGGAGGAGGAGGAGGAGGAGGAGGAGGAGGAGGAGGAGGAGGGGAAGGGTGAGGAGGAGGAGGAAGTAGGAGAAGGAGGAGGAGGAGGAGGAAGAGGAAGAGAAGGAGGAAGAGGAGGAGGGGAAGGAGGAGGAGACCCTCCAGGCGGAGGGGTAAGACGCTCCCCCCCCCTGGAGGAGGCGCGCGTCTCCAGCGCCGCCCGTGCCGCCTCCGCCTCGTCGAGCCGCCCGCGGAGCTCGGCGGCGCACCGCGCCTCCTGGAGCGAGGCGCTCAGGGCCTCCTGCTGGCTCCTGGGGGGGGGGTCGCGGCCGCGTGCCGCAGGCGGCGGGGGGAGAGGGGCCCTGGCGCAGCCGGCGCCTGTGCACCTCTTCTGGGAGCTGGTGGAGAGGAGCTGCGCCCGCGTTACGAACATGACAGAGGTCGCTGGAGACCCCCAGACGCGCGCCTCTGGAGGCCACCCCAGCAATTCTGGACCCTCGACCATCCCGACGGCCCGTGCGCGCAACGGGCAATGCCCGCGCCACGGCTCCCCCCGCGAGGGTCTTCAGTCGACCAGTATCATGAGGATGCGCGGTGGGGATGCAAGGGCCTCAAAGGCCCGTGTGGACGTTTTTCGAACGAGGATTGTCAGCGAACGTCGCTAAGGTTAGGTCGGGCATGCCCCCCTACAGGCGGATTTTGAACGAACAATCAGAGATAGACAAAACATACACCCAAAATATGCAGACATACGCAAAGATCGTCCCCGGACTATTCGTTCCCCGATCAGAGCTTGCCTCTGCAGGGGTCCTAGCGGATTCATATGGTTAAGTTCGGTTTGCCGCCGACTGTCGCCGCACGCCCGGGTGCCCGGGTGCCCGGGGGTGCCCTGTAGGCCTATAGCCCAATAGCCCTACAAGCCTACAACTCTATGGCCCTATAGCTCTATAGCTCAATAGCCCTATAGCCCCCTAGCCCTGATTGGGGCTTTTCTCCAGTAGCATTTAAAATATGTGTGGATACTCCTCCTGCAGAGGGACGCGCCCGACTTCACGCCGAGGCTGGGCCGAAGAGGCAGGGATGCACGGGGTACCCCGCGTGGAGAAGATGGCGCTTACATTCGGGGTTGATTAGAGAGAGCACGCCTGAGGACACAAGACCCTTCCGAGGGCAACATTGCCATAGGAATGCAGGAGGCATGGGTCGCAAAATACAGGACACGAGGGAACCCTTGATCTGGCAGGGTCGACCTACTAATGAACCTCGACTGTAACCCTTGGGAGAAGGGTGCCCCTCCCCACCGTGCGGGCCGACTGCGCGCCTCCCCTCCCCGCCAAAGCCTTTTATGTTTCCGGGGGGCCGGCGCAGCATCGTGGCCGAGGGCGCCCCCCCTGCCGCCAGCTCCGGTGAGGCCCACGCCCACGCCCGCGCCCACAGCCACGCCCACGCCGACGCCCCCAGCCACGCCCACGCCCACGCCCACGATCGAAGAAGGAAAAACTGCACAAACAGAAACCTTCGGCGCTCCGCGCGGGTTTGTTGGACCCCCTCCTTGGCGCGCGGAGCGCGCCAGGGGCGGCGCCGGAGGCGCCGCCAGGGGGGCCCAGCGCAGATCCAAGAAGCCCGCGCGGAGCGCCAACAGTTTATGCTGATGCCGTTGTTTCTCCTTCGGCGCAGCCACGCCCACGCCCACGCCCACCCCCTCGGGCCCCCTCTGACGCAAAGTTGAGCCTGCTTCGAGCGATCCCCGCCCGAGAACGCGAGGCGGGATCCCCGAGGTGCACCGGGCCCCCTGGGGCCTGGCGGCTGCAGTCTGCAGTCGTCACTCGTCGAAGACGCGAGGCTGGAGACCCAGCATTAGGCCGGGCATGTCCTCCTACAGGTGGGTTTTGGACGAAAAACGAAACATGGCCCAAAAAAGTGCGCAACAAAAAATCAAAAGATGGTCAAAAAATCGTCTCCTGACGGTTTTTGGAGTATTCTCGAAGATTCCTCCTGTGAAGGTACATGCCCAGACGCAGGTCCTGCTCCAGTCCTTCTCCCCAGGGGTTATGATGTTCCAACCTACTTTAGCCTTGACCACCAGAAAGAACTTTGAGCACCAAGAAATACCCAAAAACTCAAAAAGGTTATCACGTGTCGGACCGTGGGAGACACTCGTCCGACACTGTTTCGACACTCTTCCCGGTGCTCGAAATTATTTCTGGGATGTGGTCCTTAAGTACGATGGGAGCAACGTAACCCAGAGGGGGGTCCCAGGGGGGAATACTTTTCTTTCTCCTTCTCCTACTCCTCCTTATCTCCTCCTCCTCCCTCCTCCTTCTCCTCCTCCTCCCCCTCGTGGTCGTCGTCGATGTCTTTCAGGGTCGGCGGCACCAGCCGTCACGCCTTCACAAGATTCCTCCTGTGGAGGGGCATGCCCGATGTAAACCAGCACCGGGATGCTCGGGTGCTGGCTGCCACAGCGTGCGGGGGGTGCGCGAAGCGGGTCGGGAGCTCTCTCTCGCCTTGAAGACTAACAGCCCCAGGCAGTCGGGCGGGAGCAGACACCCTGCTCAGAGGCGCCCTCTCTCGACAAGCACGTTCCACTACTCGCAAAGTAGCTACTCGCAAACGGCCTGGATGCGCCGCTGGGGATTTACGGTTTACGAATATGCACTTTACGAATAGCGGAACGCGCTCGGTGACTCCCCTTCCGCCTGCTTCCCTCGTCTCTGCGGGGGAGAAAATGGCCAGGCAAGTTTACCGTGAGGGGGGGTGGACGCGCGCCAAAGCGGGGCGCGCTCCTGTGCTCCTGTCGGCTAGCCTCCAACTGCTGGTCCGCGGACGCGGCGGCGTCCCTGGACTCCTCCGCTGGGATGCGCCGGGACAGGAGGGGGAGCGAAGGCGAGGGGGGATCGGAAATGTAAGAGGAGCGAGGGGGAGGAGCAGGACGACGACGGGGAGGATGAGGAGGACAACGAGGAGGGGGACAAACAAGGGCGACGATGAGTATGAAGGCCGGGGAGTGGAGGGGGCTGTTGTAGAACGACCGAAAATCAGGGGGAAGTGCAGGGGGAGGAAGGGGAATGGGAATGGGATTAATGACGAAGCCACAATCATATCCAAGGAAGGCTGCCTGCCCGACTCACATGAACTCCTTGAGGCCCTCGCGCCTGCCCGCCGAGATGATGCCCGAGGAAAAGAACTGGACGCCGACCGCAGAGGTGGACCGCCGTATGTACCCAACACAGTGCGGCATTATTACAAGTGGCACGTGTGTACCCAGGCTCATACAACAAGCTGAAGGGGCGTTTGAAGCAGGAGTGACATGCAACAGCGAAGTCGCACTCGAGCGCAAGTGGGGTTGCCACACCTTGCGATGTGTGTACCAGGGCCCCCCAGGAAGCCTCAGGAGGCCCGACTTGGATACCAGGAGAGGCTCCAGGAGGCCCCAGGATTGTGAGTGTGTGTGTGTGTGTGTGTGATGTGTGCTTTGTGTGGTGCGTGCTTTTTGCGTGTTGTCGGTGTGTGTGTGTGTGTATGTTATGTTTGTCTAGCGTGTGATGTGTTGGGCGTGATTTGTGTCTCTGTGTGTGCATGTAGTTCTGAAGCCCCAGGAGGCCCCAGGAGGCCCCAGGCGGCCTCAGCAGGCCCAGGAGAACTCCAGGAGGCTCCGAGGCGGGGTCTGGGGTACCAGAAGGTCCAGAAAGCCCCAGGAGGCCCCAGGAGGTTCCAGGAGGCCCCCAGGAGGCTCCGAGGAGGGGTCTGGGGCTCGATTTTGGGAGGATGTCTCAGGCGAAACCGCCATTCTCTGAGAATCGGAGTCAAAATCATTGAAATTACCATGTGTTTTTGAAGGTTTTATGATAAAATGTTGGAAATCCTATGTGTTTTTGGACCCTGACGTCACGATCTGCGTGAGGGGTGCCACCGATTTTCAGAATTTCGAGGATGTCCCGAACGAAACGGCCAGAACAATCGCGAACGACGGACGCATTAATCGCCTCTGAGCTCTACTCCCTCGGAGAGGTGCGTATGAGAATAGAAATACCCCCCCCCCGTGATAGTTAACCACCCCGACACGCGAAGTCGTTCAGATCGCGGATCCAAGAAATCCGCGCGGAGCGCCAAAGGTCTATGTTTATGGCGTTGTTGACTCTTCAGGCCAAACGCGCACGGGGAGGAGAGCAGCACGGTTGGTGAGCCCAGCGGGGCGAACCCTTGCAGGAGGCGGAGCCGCCCGCGGAGCTGCCGAGGGAGGGCGGGCAGCGCCGGCCCGCTGCGGGCCTCTCTCCTGGCCGGCAGCCCAGCCGGGGTGGCTCTCGCGGTCCACTCCTCCTCCTCCTCCTCCTCCTCCTCCTCCTCCTCCTCCTCCTCCTCCTCCTCCTCCTCCTCCTCCTCCTCCTCTCCTCCCTCCTCTCTCCTCCTCCTCCACCTCCTCCTCCTCCTCCTCCTCCCCCCCCCTCCCCCTCCCCTCCTCCTCCTCCTCCTCCTCCTCCTCCTCCTCCTCCTCCTCCTCCTCCTCCTCCTCCTCCTCCTCCTCCTCCTCCTCCTCCTCCTCCTCCTCCTCCCCGTCGCTCGGACGCCCATTCCCCGTGGATGTTTCGGTCTCGCCGCTCGGGGAGCGTCCTGACCCCTCAGCCGCCCGCCCGATGCGGCCCCTCTCCTCCCTGGCGGGCCCGCCGGGGTGGCTCTCACGGTCCACTCCCCGTCGCTCGGACGTCCACTGTGAGCGTTCTCTTGTTCGGCGTTTCGACATTGGGCGGAAGGGAAGGGAGGGGGGAGGGTGGGGGTCTGGCTCTGGACCCCTGCTCAGTGCGACTGTTTGCAAGAGTACTGCCTCTGGGGGAGGCTCCAGACTGCCCCCTGAGAGATGCAGGACGTCCCGAGACCAATGCAAGACGACCCCAAGGCAGCTGTGGGAAGTGAGCGTTTTCTTATTCGGCGTTTCGACATTGGGCGGGAGGGAGGGGGGAAGGGGGGGGGTCTGGCTCCAGACCTCTGCTGAGTGCGACTGTTTGCAACCGTCCGTCTGATGGGGGAGGGACCCCACCTGCTCGACACAAGCTCCAAAGACAACCCAGATCTACTCCATGGGGGGGGGGCGAGGACCCGAGCCGATCGGCAAAACAATGAATAAGAAGACGATCACATTCCCCGTGGATGTTTCGGTTTCGCCGCTCGGGGAGCGTCCTGACCTCTGAGCCGCCCGCCCAGTCCTCGATTTCCTTCGGCCGCGTCCCTCCTCCCTCTTCCTCCTCCTGCATGGTGGCACAATTCGGCCCCACGGCACCCCCGCTCATGCCTTTCATCGCCAGCGCAGTCACCCTCTGCCTAGCCGCCGACGCAACAATGTTTCGGTTTCGCGCGTGCTTGTTTTTCCTCGATGATCCAGGATGCTCCTCGATGGTCCTCGCCCAAGAAAGATGCACACGTCCGAGCGATGCCAAGTCCGTCTTCGAGCGGGGGGGACCCTAGGCGCCTGCGCGACGGAATCTTTCGCGCGCCCCTTTGATCGGCCCCTGGCGCGAGCCAGCGTGTGGCGGACGCGCCGATGAGTGCCTCTAGCAGCTGGTCGTCGAGTGCTGCGATATCGATACTCACCTGCCAGCTGCTGCTGCTGCTGCTGTTGCTGCTCCTC